CAGAATAACATCTCTTTCGCTTCAAGCCTCTTCTTCCTCTATGAGTAAATTGTCATGCATTCACTACTTTATACGTTAGAAATTACGTAGCAGTTCTGCACTCGCTTCTTTGTGTCTGACGAAATGTTCCTATCTTTTGATATTTTGCTTAATATCTGGAACAAATATTTTGAGGCCCTGACAAAAAAGTCCCCATACACCCCGTCTTCACGGGGTCGGATAGCTGTCTACCCCTCCAGACGATACTCTGCCCTTCGACATAGCCCGTCCGGGTTCCTCTCTGCCCGGAAGCAGAGAGGTCGACAAGACGTGTTCCCAAACCCAGAAGTTTGGCCACAGACAAAAAAAAAACTTTCGACTAAACTGATTTTATACTAGTGTAGTGTCTTAATAAACCTAGTATCAGCAGCAACCCTTAATAAACCTAGTATCAGCAGCAGAAGGTATAAAAACAGGCGAACCCTTAAGTAACTCTCTCTTCCTGTTTTTCATCATTTCGAAGTGTGGGTCATGAACTTTACACATTGAATTAAAAGGGATGTGGTCGCTTCACACAGGATAACACACCTATCCAGGCAAGTAACAAAAAGGAAAACATAATCAAAAACTGAACAAAACTTCTTATCCATTTTGTTCATGGAAACATGTATTAAGGATGATTTGCTGGCCAAATACAGAAATTCATACTACTGTTTTTTCAAAGATGTATTTTAGCAGATTTTCTAACACACGATACACAGACAAACAACAATTTTTTGTTTTCGATGCAACTTACGTCTAGGAAAAGAAACTCTTAAACTTTCTTTTTGTTATTTTTGTTTAATAAATGTTATCTTCTATTGCAAATCAATCAGTCTCTGCTATAGTGTACATTTACCTTTTCACCATCACTAATGCATGTAAAATATTCTCGCAGAAACCTTACATTAATTATAGAAGTAGCCAAAGCAGTAAACTGCTATGTTGAATGGTGTGTAAACAATTTAAACATTACTGCCCTACAATAAGACTTCCAGAAGTTTTATTAATATAGTAGTATATAAAAGGTTTTGAAAATGGTGAAGAATTTAGAGAAGGACGCTCAGAATCAAACATATCTACTCCTATTGAGGGAAAAATGCTAAATAAAATTTTAGAATTTAGGTGGAGACTCTAGAATTATAGTCTTGAAATAGATTTTAGAAGGAACCGGAAACCAAATCCTAAACAGGAAACAAGGGATAGACCCTACTCCTGTGAACTAGACTATCATTTAACCTATCTACTTCTATAGAAACAGAGGATTGGCGAATCTGTCTACTCCTATACATAGAGTTCTGTGTTACTGATTAGTTAGTAGTGTGTCTTTAGGCCTTTTTTTTTTCTTATTTTATATTTCATTTCCCAGTTTTTCTATATCGTTTTTTTTTCTTGACTGTTGTTTTTATTTATTATTTTTTTCCTTTTTCTCACTTAGCAGACATTCTGTTGGTTGTAATGACACATTGTGTTTTTACTGCAATTTCCACCAGTTACATATACGCAGTCATCAAAAACAAGCAAATAACCAGCTTTAAAATAATAACAAATAAACTTTAAAAAATTAAAAAGTAATAGCAATTTTTACCTATCATAATTTTACACAGACTCCACCACACGTATATACGTGCATGCGAGGAAATATTAGTTAGCGAAAAAATAGAAAAATGCTCTGATAGCTGACATGTATACATTCACGAGACATTCACGAGAAATTTTAGCTACACTTCCGATCTTTGAATTTCAACATACAAATGCGTATGTATAGACACAACACCACCCGTATACATACATATGTCAAATCCGAAACTGTCCACATATGTTTATATATGTATGAGAACCCGACGGACGAGCATATATAAGTGTGTATGTGTGTCTGCGTACCTCATCTGATGTACGGACATGCATCTATGTTTGCGTTTGCACGATGACATCACGACGACGTTTCCCCCCCTCACTTCCATAATAACACCAATACACGCAATCTACATAAACCCAACTTTTTTAAAAAATTAATCAGTTTGTCCGACGATCGCAAAAGCGTGAAACCCAGGGTCACAAACTCACATCAATCCAACCAAATATGTTAGCTCTATCTCTGATATTGAGTGCTTTTAATAAGTACCGCACATATAATTTAAAAATAATAACATATAAATTACATATATATATATATATATATATATATATATATATATATATATGTATATATATTTATATACACACACTTTTCGCACACACACATATATATATGTATATATTTATATACGCACACTTTTCACACACACACATATATATATATATATTTATATACACACACTTTTCACACACACACACACACACACACACATATATATATATATATATATATATGAAGCAAAAGAGAAAGAAGAAGAGAATATTAATGAGAGAATATTATTGAAGAGATTGATTGTCTGACTGACCTCAACACAAAGCGTCTTCTATTCTTCGTTAACGCTTGACTTACTCGTTGCTGAACGGGCCCCCACTCAGGCGTGGCTCGGTTTGAGCCTCAACCATAAATAAACCAGACGTATACCCTAAACCGATCGTTGAGCCTTAACTAAGTTGACCGATATCTAATTCTGCTCACTTCGAAAAACCCAATTTTGACCTGTGACCCTAACCGGTTTCCTTGGTTCTATGCTAAGATGTCATGGCAAGTAATTTGGGTTATTTCTACTCGAGAAGATTCACAATTTCAACGAAGAGAAAACGCTCCGGGCAGATTGAAAGGCGTTAAGCGTAGTGAAGATTTTAATAGCATGGGAACGAGTCTCGGCGCTAAAATATTTTCTCAATCCGCAACATGAATCCTTCGTTATTTTATTCATTTGCTTGCACTCAAATCACTTCCAGAAATAATATGACAGTTCATATATATATATATATATATATATATATATATATATATGTGTGTGTGTGTGTGTGTGTGTGTGTGTGTGTGTGTGTGTGCAGGTATGTAGAAAAATAGGAAAGAACACGTTAGGTAAAATATCCAGGGTTCTTTAGTATTTTTGTTCTTATTTTTAAAAAAACAGTGCTCCATACGGAAGTAGAGCTATATCAGTGACCTTCAGGGAGAGGTCAAGCTGAGGTAGGGTGGGGTGTCTATTACAAAGCGAATTATGTCTTTCTTGTACGCGCATCGTCTGTTCAGTCATAGAGGAAAATAGATTTTGGCACCATAGAATGTTAATAAGTGTCTGGATAATTTTGTTTATTTTATTTATTTATTTTCAACGGGCTGTTTCATATATAAATGCGTCGCACTGAACTACAAATTGTTTTTTTTGACGACTTCGTAAAGGGTTTTGACCTTTAATGATTGGGTTAAGCTTTTTAGCCCTTTATTAAACTATTAAATTTGATTTTTTTATGCTAATTATTTAATGTGAAGTTTTGTTGATGTCGGCAAATAGTGATATGTGAATAAAAATGGTCGCACCAGCCGTTTCCATAGTAACGAATGAACACGCTTATAACGATACGTAAATTTCAAAATTGGTTATTCCTAAATTTTCGCTTGAGGATGAAACAGGGCTTGTTACTTTAATTCAATTTAATTTTAATAATTATATTGATGGTTTCGGTTCTCGTTTTTGAAACATGAGAACTCTTATGTAGTGAAGGAATCATATTTTTTAAACTAATCTCTCTCTCCCTCTCTCGCTCTCTCTCTCTCTCTCTCTCTATATATATATATATATATATATATATATATATATATATATATATATTTCATTAAATACGACAGATAAGGTACAACGGTTAAGCTTTTGATTTAATTTTTCTTGTGTTCGAACAAGAGCTTTCTTTTTTGGACACAGAGTGTGTAAAAACTGTCCAAATAGTCTGTAGTCCCGAGCTCTTTCGGCTATACTTTTAGCCATTATCAAGGATGATTTTAGTTTTTCAGTTTAATTGAGTGTATGCGTTATGTGTATGTCTTTAGTGTGTTATAGAGATGTTTTATTTTACGAACATGGTTAGTACATTATGACTTAGTTCGTAGTTAATATTAATAAGAGGTGGCTTTTTCTTCTTTATTATTAGGGCTTTCACTATGTACACTATTTACATTATTCGAACTGTTGTCCTCATCTTTGTTGCCATATTTATTACAACGTTTCGGCCGTTGTACGCTCCGGCCTTCTTCAGGTGGTCGGAATGTCGAACTGAACCCCAGGGTAGATTATTCTAGTTCCACGTGCCATGTTTAATGGATGTCAGTTATTAGTTATCTCCTGTTAATTCCCCTCTCCAAGTTCTCCACTGCCTTAACCGTGTATTGAATTCACACTCTTTGGCTCCTGCCACTCGATCTAAATAACACCTTTATCCACTGTGCCATTTGTCCTTGAGGACAGTCTACCCCAGTGAACGAAATAAAGGGTTCAGTTCGACATTCCAACCACCTGAAGAAGACCAGAGCGTACAACGGCCGAAATGTTGTAATAAATATGGCGACAAAGATGAGGACAATAGTCCGAATAATGTAAATAGTGTTCATAATACCACATCTCAAAAATATAGACAGGCTTCCATTATTTTTAATCTTTATTTTTACGTGTAGATGAGGTTATTATTTTTGCGTTTTATACTAGTATGTCTCGAATGAAGTCTGGTAGCTTTGTGTGTATGTTTAAATGGGTACTAAAAGAGCTCTGGTCAGATATGTGTAACATAAGGCGTCTGGATAGGCATGTAGTTGTGTGACCTATGTAGTTATTTAAAACTTCGGTTTGATCAGGAACTCATTTTCTTTAAGGGGGACTTGAACAGTTTCTACACACTTTCTTATATCTCTCTTGCCTTCACTGTGTCCTGTCAGTGTCAAATTCTCCAAGCCTTCTTTCCTCATTATGGCCGGTAAATGTAATTAATATTGTTTAATTAAAGAACAGCATTTATTTTTTTTAAATAATGTGTAAACAGAAAATATATTAAACTAGCAGCCATACCCAGCTGGTCAATTCAGAAAAAGCGTTCAATTATAATGGAGCAAAAACAGCATCATGTTTAGATGTAACAGAGTCTATCTTCTTCAATTAGTTTAAAGTACTTTCATTAAAAAGATTTTGAATTAATGAAGTTACTGATGTAACAGAAGTAGTCTGTATTTATTTAATCGAATTTAGCCGAGGAGATGAAAGGGTAAAATATGAAGACCCACTCCAGACAACAATTATTTTGGAGTTTTTGAAATTCATTTTTTCAGTGTGCTACAAGGGATGTAAAAGAGGATACATTTATAAAGCAATTGTTAAGATTACTACTGTACTGTACTGATGCGGCATTCACCCTGGGTGGATTGAGCCGGCTTCTTCCAATTATGAGAAGAAGATTCTTGGGATAAATTACAAAAGTAGGGTACCCAGGCCTAATCGGATAACGTTCTTGCTTGCCGCGGGGTTCCCACAGACGCAGAGACAGAAACGACCAGAAGCCGCCGGTTGCCGATGCAGACGCTCCTTGGATTTTCACCAGAGCCCTTGTTAGCCGGCGTGTGTGTGTCAGACCTGTCCGCTTTGGGTGGCCCTACCAGGAACGAAGTTCCGGGCGGCATAGCTCTGACACTACCGTTTACACCCCCCCACCGACTGTGAGGTAAGGGTTGGACTTTGGGGGCTTACAGTACCAGGTGTTCCCAAGCGGTCCCCCATCTAAGTACTGACCTGGCTCTACGATGCTTAATTGTTAAGATTGAGGAAAATTGGTTGAAAGATCAACGAAAAATAAGAAACCAGTAAAAATCGTCATCATTAAATCGGTTACTCTCTCCATTCTTATATTTCTCTTGCCTTCACTATACCCTGTCAGTGTCAAATTCTCCAAGCCTCATTTCCTCATTATGTCTCAGAATTTTCAACTGTGTCAGTCTGATGCTAAGAGTCAATTTTGTTCCTATTTTCTTTAAAACTCCCTGTTGCTCACATGCTCCATCCACGGCATTCTCAGCATCCTTCTGTAGAACCACGTCTCTTTTACCTCAAATCTCCCCTTCATCTGTGAGGAAATTGTCCCACATTCGTTATTACATAGCAGTACAACGCTCTTACCTTTGCTTCTCACAACGTCTTCCTGTTTCTTAATACTTTGTTTATCTTTTAGAAGGCATTTTTCGCTATTCTTATGTGTTTCTGTGTCACAGCCTGCGATAAGGACTCATCTTAAGAATACGCTGAGACTGATCTTTGAAGTGCAGACAAAATTGAAGCCATTTTCCATTTACTACACTGTTGATTATAAATTAATTGAAATCACCATCAAACGTCTACACAATAATCATAGCCAACAGGTAAATCGTTGTCTGCGAAGTTTCAATTAAAACATTCGTAGGTTGCATATTCAAGTTTATACTTGATATGAGGATTAAAGTTCTTACTAATTTTCGCATTAGTTGTTTGAATGTTCTTATTTACTAACCGTTGTTATATACGAATCATGGTTTCTTTTGGAACAAGGTCAAAGAAATCGGACACACAACGACGCGTCAAGTTAAATGGATTTAGAAAACTCCAGAAAAGATGGTTTGCCAATGTTAAGAACTTAATGTAAACATTGCTCAAAAGACATGTTTATTATATGTGCGTCATAAATGTATTGTTAATGACTTTACTAAATTTATATAATGTTATTATATAAATAAAGTGCAAATAATTTAATTATAGAAACGCATTGCAAATATTGTTATTGCAGAATGCACTTACAAATAATTGTATTGCAGAAAAACAATCATTCATCAGCTCTTACAGACAGATGCTACCGAATCTCAAAAACTATATACCAAATAACAAAATCCACATCACTTGAAGACATCCAAAAGAAGTCAGTTATGTATCATGTGTGATACACACTTAGGCCTTCAGATTGACGTCTCTGAAATGTTCGTATTGGAGCATGCCGTTTCCAAATTTCTGAAGGCTTGAATTACGTCATGGTATTCTTTTGCTCACAAACGATGCCCAACTGACCTTACTATACTATGCAGTCGACAAAATAAAACAAAAACAAATAATGCTCATGCGCGAATTTAAAAATATATAATGGCGACGATTTACCCATCGCATCCTGTATATTTACAGTCCATTGCTATAACGATTACAATACTTACATCTTCATAACCTTCTAGAGAAGAGAATACCAGACGTAGTTAAATATTCTTTTTACTTTTTCTCCCTCTTTGAATTTCCTCGGATGTCTTGGTTTTTCTAACGGCAGAACCTTTGTAGAATATTTCTCACGTTTTTTTGTTTTCCGAAACGTTCTTTCAAATGAAAATGGATAGCGTCGTAGAATGATTTATTTTACGAATCTCAGACGACATATATTGGCGCCAAAAAATGTAAAGAAAATACTTAGTTTAGATCTTGATGTAACCAAATCCGCTATTACAGAAAATGTCGACAAAGTTTATTTGAGCCTTTTTACATCAATTTCCGATCTCTATTTTAGATTTAATTTCTTATTTTTTACGTAAAAATGAAAAAAATTATATATATATAAGTGAACAGATT